GGTTTGACTTCGTCGAATCGTACCAGTCAAAAAGGGCAAAATTTCGGTCAGCATTCCTCGCAGAGCGATCTCATCCACCGCTCACGAAAACTGTTTTAAAAGCTTTAGAAGATAGGAAATTGTCGCTTCAAAGGCAAATTTTGCGATAAAACTGATTCCCGAAAGCGAAAGATGGTGGTGGGCAAGATAGAGGAAGGCGCAATTAGACGATACACAGCAGCTTTTGCGGCAGAAAGCGCCCTATTAACAAGATATAGGGTGCAAAAAAGTGCCCACGCGAATTCTGGCGTACGGTGCAGTGAACCAGCGCCCGTGTAGGGCGATTTCCACACACAGGAGCGCCACATGTGTGACAGTCTTCCAAAGGTTTATCTCAAAGACGAAGTAAACCTCTAAGGACGGGGCAATATCCTTGAAGGCGGAGTTTACGATTAGGCGATAGCCCATTAGAGTTAAGGTAGAGGTGGTCAGTATGGCCTGGATGAAGAAAAAACAATGAGAAAAGGCACACAACCAGGCTAGTAAAACTGTTCCTAATGCTGATTTCCGCTTCGACACGACTCTTATCAGTGCTGCCCACTCCAACCTAAAACTTTCTCTGCCCGGCTAGGACATGAAGCCTTGAAGAAGGTGGGCGTATCCGTCCATAGCGCTGCGGGGAGGGGCATGCTGGGTCGCTGGGCTACATCTTTTCCAGGAAATTACGTGTCAGTTCGCGTCCGTGAGGTCCACTGGATTTCCCCTCTCTTGACCTTCCTAAAATCCTTCTATAAGAGCAGTTTAGGAGATCCCTAAGGGTGATTGTGGCCATAAGATTAACAGCAAATAATTCTATGGGAGTAATTCTATGTATGTGCAATGTGTTCACTCCCTCTTATCAAAAGCACGCTCTTGAACCAATTCGGTGGAGTTCTTTGGTATGAAAATGAAGCACTCTTGCAAGGTGGGCCTGCAGTAAAGAAAAAAAGGAAAAAAATTCGTCGACACAACAAAGTTAAGGGCTTGCTGACATTTAAGATGGGACAGCGAGAGAATGAGCATGGAGGAGAAAACTGAAAAGGTACGCAAGAGAGAGCAAGATCCCAGGGCCATTGTTGCGAATTTAGAGCCAGATTGGACATCTGCGACCTTTCCGAGCAGCTCAAATCTAACCATCAAGGGGAGTCATTCACCGAATCTCATCTTAGGATGCTCCTTTGAGGTTATTCCTTCTTGGATGGATTCAGAATTCATTCAAAATTGTCATTCTCTGGATAATTGGATATGAATGGTAAGTAATAGCTCACTTGTACAACAGATCCCGCACTGTGGATTACAAATCTGATCACCAGAGCACTGCCTAAGCAGATCACAAGTTGACAGCTTGCCATCGTATCTAACCACAACCGAACCTCCTCCTGGACAGTAGAGCTCCGAGATTGCTGTAACGACATCATATTTTCATCGTCAATATAAAAATGTTCTATTAATCTTTGATCTTTGTGCAGATATATGTCGAATACAGTAGAACTCACACACCAAACGGTCTCGGCAAGTAATTGAAATGCTAATTGTGTGGAGCATTATTTGAAAACAGAGCTCAATATTACTTTCCACAATTTTCGGCAAGAAAATTCTTTAATTCTCAATTGAATTGGGTAATGTCTTCATAACTTCCCCAGGCAAAATCCTTTTTCACCTTGAATTACCTACCGGGAGAATCCTTCCGAGATGGTGCTCTGGAAAAGCATCCACTTATAGGATGTCCAGTAATAACTCGCCGCTGACATGATTCACCCTGAAGTTCGCAGAAGAGTTTCCAGTTCCTGCCACTGAAGCAGTCTGAAGACTACCTTGTTACAGTCGGAGTCGACTTGGCATGGATTTGCTTTACGTGCATGCCTGAGACATGGAGAAGTCCCAAAACACGCCGTAGATGGCCAACGAGTTCTTGGGCGTAAAGCTAGAAAAAAACCTGTGATTGTGAGCTCTGGTAAGTCGGAAGGCGTGGTTAGGATAGTTGAAATGGGATAGGTCAGGGTATACGTAGCAGGAAATGACCAAGGGAAGGGAAATGACCTAGGTTAGTTGCTGAGAGTCTGGTTAGTACTACACAGACTACGATTGGTCACTAAGGATCAACATTTAGCTTGTTGAATAGTTTGCGGTGCCTGCAACACACCATTGTGCTCGAACCAATCTGGGCGGTTTTAGAAATGCTATGTCTAGCTCTCTCGCGCCGAGGTAGCTGGCCTCCCAGCTTCTGAAGTTAACTGTGGGGATCCCCGGCTGATAACAGTGAGTGGTTTTGATGGGACAGCTGCTATCTTGAACAATAATGACTTTTCTTTATTTCAGCAAACAAAACGGATCCTTACTGTGAACTGCTGATCTTCGTTGCTATTATATCAGCTATTTAATAATCAAATTTTTCTATTTTATCACCTAGCAGGGCACTTATCCCTTCAACAGCTGCATTCTTTCTGCTATGACGTAAATAGTTTGACTCCCTCTCCCTGACCCCTACCTGCTAAGTATGGGTTGGCGGACATACTAAGCTGGTATACGAGGTCGCTTCCCCCGCCTCGCAGCTGGCAATATTGGCCGACCAATTCCGTTCCTCTCTTAGATTTCTCCTCCAATCTCCCGTAACCCCTCTGCTCGTTCCTGGATTAGCTTATCTAACTGAATTATTGCCTCTAACCTGAAGGTTCAGGACATGCGACGGGCTCCTTCAGAAAAGGAAGCATTTGTTTTGTGCGATTTCTTCCTAATGTATATCTTCCTTCCTATCTTCAAGGATT